AATGTAGGCATTATTTGTTTTCCCTTATCATTTTGAGATTTTTGTTGTCATATGAGTTATATAAAAGTCAAAAGTCAACGGAAGGAGAGACCAGCAAGGTCTTGCTGCATTATTGCTTTGATGGCCATGGCCCCAATAGTTTCAGCCGTTCGGCACGCATCAACATGATTCGTCAGTCAACGCCCTTCTTTTTATTTCGATATAATTCTATTATTATTGAACCAACCAATTACAAAGCAAAATCAATTTCTTTTTTTTCTTGAAACTTCAATTTCTTTTTTTGCAAAATCAATTCAATGGATGTTATTATGGGTGTATGATATTTACATTATGAATGTTGAAAGTATAAGGTTATGTTTTTTTTTGTTTCTGTTGTTGGTAAACTGTAAAAGGTTATGTTAGTACTACTTTAACAAAAAAAAGGTTATGTTTACTTCAAAAAATCAATTTTTTCCCGCTTTACATTCGAATGCCTATCTATCAAATCATTCTGATGAATGCATATAATAAATAGCTAAGAAAAAAAAATAAAGTAGTACGTCTAGCTATAAAACGGCATTGAAACTTCGTTTGATCTCTCTTTGGTCTTTTGTCGTTGACATATTTTGCATTCATCAATCATCAACGTCGATCAAATAATGAGAATCTATAAATTTGGGAAATTAGCATTGTGAATATTTACAATAAATACTAGCTATGTATACCAAACCAACACTTTATGCGTATATACACTTGAGATGAAACATAAGTCTAGATTAAATTCTCGATATATAGAAGTATGAATCATAATTCCAAATACTTTATTTTATCTATCAGATTTATCGTCACTGCAAAATAAATTGAGAAAGAAAAGTCATGCGCAGTGGCAAATGCAAAAACAAATTTCATGGGGGCATTAAGCGTATTTAAAAAAAATTATTAGAGGCATTTAACCAATAAATATCAATTTTTTAAAGAAAACTAAGAAAACTTAAATAAACCATGGTGGGCAAGTGCCCATGGTACTGATGCTATAGCTTCGCCCCTGGTCATGCGTCGACTTCTTGACGATGCATAGTATTTTGGACTATTACGAGGAAAACAAAAGTATATTAATTAATACATTTCATTGGTAGGCATTATATTAAAATTTTATAACGGAGAAAAGTTGTCAATACATACATGTGGGCATGACGAGTGGGATTAATTAACTTGGTCACTTGTATACATAAAGATTCTCATAAGGAGAGCGATATTCACTCCAAAAAGCAATCTTTGAACAAGTTTGTGGTTTTGTTCTTGAAGAGTTTATATGTCATATATCCACACTAGAGACATGATCATTAATTAGGATGCCGTATTTAACTTAGCACTTCTTGCATTTCTTTTTCCATAGGTTTATACTAAAGAGGTGTTATTGGATTAGTGTTTTTAATGTATTTTATTGTATTTGTATTTGGGAGTATTATGTTAGATTTTGATGCAATAACCACGTTGGATTGGATTTGATGTATTTTATTGTACTTGTATTTGAAAGTATTTTGTTGGATTGTGTTGAATTTCTGAACATGACACGTGAATCGTTTTTCTCTTTTCTACCTCTCTTGAGATTTGCCGATTGGAAGCTAAGACAATTTTGTTTTGGATGCTGATACCGAAAGCTCGAGACGGCGGATGTCGTTGTCTAGACAGCCGTCGACGAGAGGAAATCCGGGTAACGTTGGTGGGTCAGTGAGGGTAGATCCGAGAATCAACAATTCGAGCCGACGAAGATCGGTGTCGAGACAACCGTGGGAGAGTGGTTTATGCCGGCGAGAACAGTGGTAGTACAATTAGAGGTAGGGAATTTGGGAGCGATCGTGAAAACACGAATTCACGGCAAAGACGGTCGCTCTCAGTCATTCTGATTGACAATTCCAACGTAAATCACTTTTGTTGTATAAAATCGTAAATATAGTTTTATGTGATCACAAGAAAATTGACAAACTGAAGATAGCGGAATGGGGAGGAAGCTAAAGACAGGTGGAGCTTAAATGAGTATAATGGTTAGTGAGAAAGTGAAAGAGATGCTTGATACTTCAAGCTCCGACTTTGGAATCGAAAATGGTGGATGAAGCTACTTTAGAGGAGCCTAATTGGAGAATAGACATGAGGATTTGCGCTCAGTTCAACAATGAGGAGTTTGACGGAACCGAGATTGTTAGATTCATCAAGAGGAAAATATCAAGGAAGAACCCCGTGAGCCAAGGAGCTTCTTGAAGATTGTGCTATGAATTACGAGAAATGAACTTCTTTTGGCTC